CTCTCTGCGTACGCAATAAGGTTTAGTTTAGGGGCCAGAGGTAGGTACAAAATTGTACATAGGTATTTACAATACGTCAGCTGACAGCTGTGACGTTCGGATACACGTATCTAATTAGATTTTTGAATCATATCTGTCTGTATTGTGTATGTCCCCCAACTATTTTTTACACCACTGTATACATACAATAAAATAGTTGATAATGTCTATGTTTACTAACCCAATTGTTCTGTCTTTCCAGCTACTAACAACTAAAAACTACCGCAAAGTTAAGTTCGACGGTTCATTAATTTTGCCGTCACCACTCGACACTGGCAGTATAGTCGACAACACGCGGTTAGGAGACTCGGTTGAAAAAAAAAAAAAAAAAAAAAAAAAAAAAAAAAAAAAAAAAGATTTTTGAACGAAAAAGGATTGCTTCTGATTTTCGAAATAATAAATTACGTATTAAGATGAATTTAACAATTAAAATTTGAAAATAATATAGAACAACTAAAATGAAACTGTAATTAAATATCAATAAAAATACTACCTGCGTGACGCCTAACAAAATACTAAAAGCAAAGTTACCCATGTAGTTCTGATTGAAATGCTACAGGCACTTCGCCAAATCTCAAGCTCAATTAGGATTACGATTGTAGCTATTGACCAGGGGCGGTCTGGACATACAAACCAATCGGCAATCGCTAAGTCCCCGGGGTTATATGGGCCCAAAGCCGATTCTGAATTGTATTTATTTCACAAAAAAAAAACATTTTTGTAGTAAGAAAAAATGTTTAAGCTACAGTTCACTCTTAACAAAATAAGGAGTCTATAACGCATATTCTGTACTTATCAACCTGCCCAACAAAATGGCAGGAAAATGCAAATCTCAAAATCAGAAGGGGTGGTTGTGGTTGGTTAGTATTTACGCACGCACAGACACACACACACACACACACTTGATCTTTTAAAACGCATATCACATTCAGACATGGAACAATAATTTATGGATTAGATAGAGGCAATCGAACCCATAACGCATTGCACAGAAGCCGGTCACACAGCCACTGCCACATACATATTTATACTAACAGACCGTGACACACAGTAGCGACACCTACCTACTTTATAAAAATAGTAAAATACCCATCATAGCTACAAAAAATATACCTAACTAAACTAACTATCACTTTCTGTACTGACGATTAACATGTGCCAAATTCCAATGCGAATTTGAAGATTGGTAAGACATGATATTTTATTAATAACGTTGATCATCATCTTAGTTAATAGTCATGCAATGGGGCTTGTTACCTAATAATAATAAGTTCCTGGATGGCCGAACTTTGCTCGGTGTTCTTTTTAGTGGATACATATGTTTTTTTTAAACATTAAATATAGATAAGATATATAACAAAATACAAAAAAAAAAGTAGAAAACAGAAACATAGTAAAAACACACAGGCCAAAGATTGAACTCGAGTGTCTTGTGTGGGAGGCACCCAATTTCCCGACTAAGCTATTATAACGATATTGCCAATGGCGAACTTTAATTTCGGATTCAAATAATAGGTATTATAGGAGGTTTTATTTCAATATAAGAAAATATAGACAAGACAACAATTATTTCGGAAAATAAAACCTAGCTGGATCGATTTATCACCCCCGAAACTCCCTAAGTACAAAATTTTAAGAAAATCGATTAAGCCGCGTCCTGTATCGAAGACATTAGATAGATAGATTAATGGAGAAGCTAGTAAGGAGAGAGGTTTGTTACCTTTTTCAGAGTGTTTTAGAAAGGGATCAAATACTATGACAATAAATTGGGGCTCTACGTAAGGATTTAAAAAAAATTAAGGATTTAAAAAAAAAAAATATTGTTTGCAAGTTCCACTTCCACTAGTTTCACTCCAGCCTCTGACTGTGAATTATGTAACGTTTGATTTAAAGACCTATTTACAAACTAATATGATACCTCCTACCTACTGTTTGTAATGTTTCTCCACAACATTGGCGATTTGCCAAGCGTAATTACCGGAAACCAATAATATACCCACCTATTAGATATGTACCTATCTGCGGTAGGTATCGGTATCCGTTCCAAAGAACTGACGGTCCATGGGGCAGAAAAGTTTTAAAACGGATGTGACGTTATTATACGTATTGCAAGCGCAGTATACAATGTCCACATACAACGATAGAGGATCCATACCTTTTTAATCTGTGAGAGGATCTAGCAAAGATCGCAAAGAGTTAAGCAAGTCATTAAGGGAGGCTTATGTTCAGCAGTGTATCTACATTGTGTCGCTCATGTTAATAATAATCCGATTTAAATAAATTCAGGACAATGTTTTAAACTTTGGCCAGTAAATCATTCCAGTTAGGTAGTGGCAAAACCTAACTGGAACCTATAAATTTTTTTTATGGGATAAGCAATAGACGTTTCACCTGATGGTAAGTAATCGGCGTCGCCCATGGACACCAGAAACACCAGAAGCGTGCAAGTACAAGTGCGTTACCGGCCTTTTGAGAATTGGGAATTTGAAGATCGTGAGGGATTCGGCGATTATGGAGACTGAAGACGGGGAGTAATTGGGCCTCCGGTAACCTCACTCACACGACGAAACAAACGCAAGCATTGTTTCACGTCGGTTTTCTGTGAGGCCGTGGTATCACTCCGGTCGAGCCAGCCCATTCATGCCGAAGCATGGCTCTCCCACACTTAAAACACAAACATTTATTGCCATCATTTCTTAATGACAATATTGCTTTCCGTAATACAGAATAAGGCTCTTAGAGAATGTTTGAGGACTGTAATACTCAACTTAAAAGGATTTTACATCTCAATGGCATCCCAACCGAACAAAACTGAAGCCTTCGTTACAGCATCTCTTTCAAAACTCTATGACGATGGCTGAGGCCTTAGTACGAGTTTGATTTACGTTTAAAGTATTCGAAACGAGTATGCGTTCGGCACTCTGATTGGCCGGCGCCAATGAACCAACCAATCACAGCGCCGAACGCGTACTCGTTACGATTACTTTAAACGTAAAACAAACTCATACTAAGGCCTCTGAAGCCTTTACCTAAAATATCTCCTTTCAATAGCATTACACGTGTGCACACAGGTACAGATTTACACTCAAGAATATCAATATTGTGAACCTGATTGAGTACCCATGGAGTTTCTTGCTCGTTCTTCTCCATAGGAATCTACACATTGGAATGAGCAAATAGTAGCTTCAATTTTAATTTTTTTGTTGACGTTCAAAAATGCCTTTCTGGTCTAATTGAAATACACGATTTTGACTTTCACTTTGACTTTGACATTTGAAATTTCACTGCTGCATTATGAGACACTTTTACTTAAGAGAGATTTACCATAATCTCCCTGCGATAGACCGCAGTTCAAGAGATTCAGGTTTACCAGATTGTACTGCCACCCCAGTTTTACTAATCCTGTAGTCCATACTTCAGCTCTTAAGGCAACACGACTCTCGCAGTAAGAGTAGGAGTACTGTCAAATGTCTTATAGGTACTCTGCCAGACTCTGCCAACATATATGTACACGTGTCTCTTTCAATTTATTTTTACACATTGCTACACACTAGGATTTTCTCCGGTTTCGTGGGTGCGTTTACAAACACCCAAATCCACATGACACCCAGACCCGAAACAATAATTTGTGGATCACACAAAGTGTTGTTCCGTGCGGGAATCGAACCCGCGGCGAGCTGCACTGTAGCCGGTTGCCCAGCCACCGCACCAACCGCGCAGTCAATCTTTCAGTCAGTCATAGTAATCAGTCAATTCTTTCAGTCCCCCTCGTTCAAAAACGAAATCCTTCACCTACATTCATAGGACGTCAGCGGTCCAGTTTATTAGGAAACTGTTAGTACAATCAGTGGGCAATCATATAATTTGTAATTGCTTGCGGAACAGTCCACTCCATGCCCTGGCCGTAGGGTGGGAGCTTCCTTCTTCAATGGCCGCTGTGTACCAGCAGGAGGTTAATTAATGCTCTCTGCTGATGGCATTTTGAGGGACCCTATTTTAGGACGTAGTTCTAAACTGATGCGTAGAATACTTGATGAATGTTTTGATGTTAAACCTGATAGAAATAGAATGAAGGAAACTTGGTTTTCACTATTCATATTTAAGGATGTTCATAAAAAAGGAGGTTCGTTTGTACGCATTGGGTACGCCAGTATTTTTTCAATAATCAGCGATATTTCTAATCTCTGTATGGACTTTATATCTTTAGCAGTATCAAAAGGCTGATTGAAACGACAGCGATAACTATTATAATATCTTCTTAACTTGTCTTCTGTTAGAAAGAAAGATTTTCATAGTAATTCAAATACTGATAATAACAAAACCGTTTAGTTAAATCCTAGATATATTTTTTATAGAATAAGTCGTTAAACTAGCAAACGGATTACTGGATGATACGCAATCGGCATCGCCCATGGACAACCTGAACACCAGAGGCGTTACAAGTTTGTTGCCGACCTTTTGGGGATTAGGAATTTGAGGATTGTTATGGATTCAGGGAGTGGGGAGATTGGGTAAGGGAGGGGGTTAATTGGGAATCCGATACACCCTCATTCACACGACGAAACACAACGCAAGCGTTGTTTCACGTCGGTTTCCTGTGCGGCTGTGGTATGGTATCACTCTGGTCGAGCCGGCCCATTCGTGCCGAAACATTGCTCTCCGAAAATACTAAAACCAAATTAACATTTAATTTATCCGATCCATGTTGTCTCATTAACAAATCAAACCCGCCCAAGTTCATCTAATTAAAGAAGCATTAATTGAACAATAAATAAAAAAGTAATACCTATTTGTGATCTCCTGTCAACCACAAAAACAATAAAAATGATTAAAACAAAACATTTGTTCATACAACCTCATAAATAAATATTAGGCAGGTACGTACTTGAGTTTGTATATAAATAAATGTATGAACATAAAGTAGGGCGGTTGCCATTACATTGGCACTAAGGCGCGCCGATTTCAATAGTTTGGGCGCGATACTGTATCGAGAAACCAAGTCGTGGTATTTTTTCAGTGCAGTGCAATTTTGTGTCTAAAAATTATTAGAAATAAAGGCGAGATTCACTCGTGATGGGTACCGATGATCCTAATGCTTTGGCTGCTGTGGAATTTGAGGTCTATGGACAGGTTCAAGGTCAGTGTGATCATCATTTGGTTCCAAAGAGCTTGTACTGGTGGTAAAACATGTAGAATGTTTACATAAATGTTCCTTGTATCCTATTTTCCACTAAAAGTTTATCATTAAAACTTGGGTAACAAATTCACCCACAATATAAATTGCTTACACTTAATTCAAAAAGAGAATTGACAATGTCTGGCTATAAAAAACTCAGATCCGAAAATACTGGCTCTAAAATGATGATGTATTTTGCTCTATAAGTGTACGTGAGCATATAATAAAGAGAAAAGGAAAGAAAAGGATTGTTTGTTTTACCTTAGAAATCGTTAATTAATTTTAAATAATTTTAATAATTTTTCCTATAAAAAAAAATCTAATAAGATAGGTATGTTTCTTTAGTAGCTAAAATAAATGATTAGAATTCTAAAATGTCAATTGTTTTAATTTTAAGATTAGTATATACCATCAGCTGATTTGAACCAAGAGCTAATCAGTCAACTGTTTAAAATTAGATTTAGTTGTATGTGGGTCGATGTCAATGAGGTATTTGGACGTGAAATCGGTCACAATAAACATTCGAAATTACTTCTATAGCAACCACACAGCTTAATTTAAACAAGTATAATTTGATGTGTACCTAGTAAACAGTAGTAGTAGTACTAAGAAACTAGTGGCGTTATACCACGACCTAGACTAGAAATGCGAAAGCGCCTGTAAAACGCGCGCTTGTAAAATACCAATTGCCCTTTACTTTGTTCAACTATGAACATAATAATTATATCTATGTGAAACAAACATAACATAAGTACATAATAACATATTTCCTTCCACATTAAATCCAGATAGTAAATTAATAAATGATTTACTTTTTTTGAAATAAACGTTGCCTCATACTCGGATTTTTTCCTGTGTTGTGGATACAGACATACACATGACCCGAAACAACAATTTGTGGATCACACAAAGAGTTTCTTCGTGCGGGAATCGAATCCTCTACAGGTTGCGCGGATTCCGTTACCCATCCACTGGATTTTATCTCTCCTCACTCTATTTCTCTTTTACTCATATATTTATAGCCAAAATAAAGTATTTTTAATTAGAGACTACGAAAATACATTTGGAGATAGGTTGCTCTACACTTTTGGAAATATTGACCATTCATTTTTCTATCTCTCGTATAGGGTGCTACTTTACAAAATACTGCAAGGAGCTAGCAGAACAGCTGGGTGTGGGAGGCTGGGTGAAGAATTCGAAGAAAGGAACCATTGTAGGCAAAATACAAGGCACGAAGGCACAACTGGATCACATGTGAGTAGATGTCATGATTATTATACACCATCATCACCATCAACAGCCTATAAATACCCAATGCTGACCAAAGGCCTCTTCTCACACGGAGAAGGTTTGAGCATTAATCACCACGCTTGCTCAATGCGGGTTGACGATTTCAAACTTATAGTTAGGAATAATAAGCCTAGGTTTCCTCTCGTTGTTTTCCTTCACCGTTTGTCAGTGGTGTCTAAATAATCTTAGAAAGTACCTACATATAACTAGGAAAAAGTCACTTTGGTACTTGTCGTTGGTAGGTTTCGAACTTTTTTTTTACAAACTCGACACAGAGTGGGGTCCATCAAAATCAACTGCTCACATCATTTAAATGTTGGATATTATATACGCCTATCCAGCAATCTTTAGCTCTTTGCATGTAAATACCTTACATAATCTTTGTAAACATCATAAACCCAAGGATACACTAGGGGACAAAATGTCCTGCGTTTTGCTAAGATTTGAAGGACACTATTTCCTCTATTTTTTTAAGCCGTCTCTTGTGTTTTCTGCAAATTCCTTGTAACCTTAGTCCTTTTAACCTTCCACAAAAACACTTTAGCAATCATTTGTACCTAACAATAAAGGTATACTTTCTAATGTTAAATGCCAATCACCTACATAAAACAATTTGGTATTGTTCCAAATGGATATGGCATGATTGTTATTATGATTCCGGATTGTTCTGATTTATTATAGCTATATCACTAGCTAATGTTGGATAAATATGGCATACTTGATAGTACGCTTGGACTGCTTTTGAAGCATTTATTTGAAGGGGTAGGTATGCATGAAAGAATACACATAGGTACGGTTACATAGACTTTTATTTACTTTTTTTGTACCGTGTGTCTCATGCGTCAGCTATTTCGGCAACTATCCGACATATTAATCGTAAATTAATACTTGAACGAATCGCCCCACTACTTCAAATCTCCAATCCTTAATTTGTAAATCCTCAAAAGGCTGGCAACTGACAAAATGTTTCGTGTAAGTTTCCATGGGCGGCGTCGATTGCTTACCGTCAGGTTGTCTGTTTACTCGTCTGCCGCCCTAAGGGCTCGTACACAACTGCGATGCGTCGTCGCATCGCAAAAATGTGCGAGCTCCCTCTATGCATCGCAAGAACTTGCGAATTGATTCGCATCGCGCATCAAAATCTTATCTTCTCAAAATCTTCTTTGTTTCTTTTTTCTATATCTCCTAAGCAAGAACAGAAGTGCGCACTTCTTTTTTTTCGATCCTATTTTCAATTTAAAATACGTTTAGTATGGTTGGCGGTCGTCGAAGGAATAGTCACCCTGGGAGCCGCCTTGTCGCACGAAATCGCATCGCAGCAATTCGCATCGTAATTGCGTTACGAATTCGCATCAAATCGCATCGCAGTTTTGTGTACGAGCCCTATATCACAATCAAAAACACTCACTTTTTGACAGTTATATTATAAATCTAATAATATAGAGGACGACGATATGTATTGAAATACCTACCTACATACACGGGGTATTTCAGAAACTACTAAAAACATAAAGTGTTATTATAATTTAATGTTTTATCGAATAAGGCAATAAAATGCTATTTGTCCTTTTTCCAGGATTGACTGGCTAAGCACCACAGGGTCTCCAGGTTGCAAGATAGAGAAATGTGACCTTACCAACTGGGAGTACGTCGCGAGGATCGCATACACGGACTTCACTATTCGATTTTAATACAACTTTTGTAATCGGTTTCTTAATTGTAATGTTTATTTTTAAGGAGTTCTTTTCAAAAAAAATATAACTAAGACCTGATTTTTTGTTGTTCTTTGTATAGTAAGGTTTATGGTATTTAAGTCTTTGACTGCGGGCTGCGGGCTTCAGCCAGAAAACTGTTGAAGGCAAATCTTCTTATCATCACTTATGAAACTACTAATGATGCAACTGGCGAAAAATGGGCACTGTATGGTATATGTGGAACTGCATATTTGGCTACCCCTTCACATATTAAAAGGTGTAACGTAAGGGTGAGTCCACATATGTACGTGGCGCGGGCCGCTCGCGAGCTGTGTGTATGCATTGAACACCAAACCACCTAAGGATATCACAAATACTATCAACAATCACAATCCTTAAAATTGGTTTACAATTATTCCAAACTCAAACAATTCTACGAGCAATAACGAACATAGTACACAAAAGAGTAAGTTAAGTAGGTACACAAGTACTTACATGTTCAGACAAAAACATTGTTTCCCTTTATTATGTACACAAGCCAGTCTGAAGATAAAACGAATATCGTAAATAATATCAATAATACAATATTTACTACTTAAATCGCACAGCGGTAGGTTGCTATTATCAAAATGGTTGATACGGTCTGTTTGTCCGTGGAAATATACAATATAAACTAGGTAATCGATTCATTTGGAATATTTGGAGCTCATTATTAATTTATGTTTAGTTTTTATACTATCTTTACTGGCAACTAGCAGGCCGTGTGATTTCGGCAGAGTAATACATTTCTGTCACACGTGTCGCTGGTTCAGACCATGGTAAGGAGCGAGGAGGACAGGGATCCCACCTCCTCCTTCTGCGAAGCAGTCATGTTAGCTAAGGATTAGGCGGGGCGCGTGAGGGAACGAATCTCCTCACGCCCTAGCCGTCGCGAGAGACACTCCTGGCGTCGGGGATCGAGAGATGATCTCTGGCCACGTGCCGCACGAGCCTGCGCACGGCGAACATTGATAAGTCGCCGTCCGACCCGAACTAGACCCGAGTGTACGGTGTATTGCGTTCCGCACGCGCCTCAAGGAGCCATCAGACCACCACAGATCAGGCCCAATAGAGCTGATACCGGGTTGCCGGGGCTCCTGTTCGAAGTGTAGTAATAGGACCGGTGTGGTTTTTAGTCAGTAAGAGTCTAACACTCCCTCTTGCTTCACCCAGGTGGGAGAAGCCATTGGATGATTTTATCCCTTCAAAAAATGGTGTCGTATAAACTGACTTGACGTTACATATTTGATAGAAACCGGATAGCAGCAATCTCTGGCATGATGGTCTGGTATTGGTAGGGTCTCTTGGTTAAATGAAAATCATTATAGGTAAATATTACAATTCTAAATTTTGATTCACAAAATTCCTAAAGAATGTAATTTGTAAACAAGAACTTTACTTATGTGCTTAACAAATTTGCAAGTAAACTCAGAGGGACAACTAAAGCAGAAGTTGGAATCTGTTATAAAGCATGTAACCTATGAGATAACATATCACCATTGTCGTCTCAATGAATCTGAGGACTTGCGTCCATCTTATTGCATTATCGGCCTTATAGCTTTCATCTTAAGACTTATTATGATGGTAAGCCTTCGTTTGTACGGTAAGTAGGGTTGAGGACCTTTGGTTTTCTTCCAGAGGATATAAATAGTTTCTCGGAGAAGTATTTCTGTTTTCGCCGACCAGAGCCTCATTATTCATTATAATTGTGAATGATTGCAAGATAGATGTTCAGTACATTTAATTCAATAAAGTTAATTGATAATGTTTTTAATTGAATAAAGCTTGCGGTTTTTTCAATGGAAGTAAGTGGCGGTGTAAGTATTGTTTTTTCCTGATTAGTAATGAAGTCAGTTTCTTCTGGTTCTACAGAATTGAACGATATGTGAATTATTGCCTTGACTTCGATATCATAATACAATATGAGGTGACAACCGTTTTGGTAGGAGCCAGGATGCTACCTTGTGGAACACCTTATGATTTTTGGAACTTAGTTATTGACTCCACACGGGATGTGAAATTTCTACTTTTCTAGATCGTTTTTATTTCAAAAGGAAACATTACCCATTTTTTAAAATACAACTATTCCTCGTAATTTTATAGATATACAAGGTCAACTGTGTAAACGCTTGAATGAGGTCCAAACAAACTATACAAAACCACATTTAAACAACAATTAAAGTAAATATTCTTCAAATACGCAAATTTTGTTTTTTTATGTTTAGGTACGCCTTTATTTATTGAAAATCACGTTAAATGGTTTTACTTTAAGTTCTACTTACCCAATTTCTACAAGCAGACGTGATACTGTACCACACACAACGCCACATCCACTATCATCAATAGGCATCGTAAATCGTTGTACACAATCAATTTAATTCATAAACTAAAGCTATAATTAAAACAAAAGATAAAATAGCAATACGTTTATTATGTTTTGTTCAACAGTACCTATAATAACTTAGTGCTTACAACTTTATTGTACCATATTTACATATTTTACTTGTCTTTAGAACTAATAAAGACTTTAATATCTTGACTTAGAACGAATACTTATGTTAAATTAAACTAAGGAAATGTGACGTGAAGATTATGCAGAAATTATAAAACGATTGAATAAATCTTGCTTCTAGTTTTGTGACAGGCGTTTGATAATGTAATGGAATATTGAACAAACAGAACAATCCTATAAAACAGGATGATAGAAGAGGTAGTTTTTAGTCACGTACACTATGTTACACAGGTTGAAGTAAATTCGAAAATAGACCATATAACTTTTGCAATGGAAATTGTTTTCGTACTACCTTTTTATTGCGTATACATATGTATTATAATTATAGTAGAAAAACATGTAACAACAATCACAAAGAGCACTAAATATTTATGCAGTAACAATGTTGAATTTAACAAAGTTTAAGGTAAGAGAAAAATGCTACGGGCTACGTGTTTTGCTACGAAAATTGCTACGAGATTTTCGGCTACGAATTTTTTTTTTACTTATTATACAGGTTTCTAGAGTATGGTATTTTGTATTCGAGTTTGGGGATGATATTAAGTTGTGTTTTGTACTACAATCATGTTTATAGGAAAATGATGATTATAAATACTTCGAATAGAGGCGAAATTCTTAGGTACCTAGGAGCAAAATTCGTACTAAATTATCAAATCAAGATAGCAACAAACGATTTTGTTAAACTTGATTCAAAATCGTTCTTCGATAGTATCGGTATATTAAGCCATTTTCGCTCTTATAAGTAGTATTTTATTCCATAGGCGGGTCACGTTAATATTATTCCGTATGTTAATAGCCTCGATCCCCTTGTTCACTTCAAAACACTACATCACTGGGGACTAACCATACAAATAAAGTTCCTTCACTACTGTGGAACACATCTTTAAAACTAGACTTTTTCTTCTGGTATTTGTAAGGGTACGCTGGCATCTTCTGGCTTTCTACCAGCAGCTGCAGCAGCCTGCAAAGCTCTTCTGTGTCTCTTCTTGGTTCGTTCTTTATGGAAGAATAGCCTGAGGTAGTGGCAAGGGAAGACCACGCACTCTCCCGCTGGCTCCTCAGCGTCGATGTAGACTCCTCGGACGATCACCGAGTTGGAACAGTTCAGCAGGATGAGGAGCGTCAAGCTGATGATGTGGGAGCTCCAATTGCTGAGCTTTGGTGATTCTGAAATAGAATAGTTATTTTTAAAATGTTTACTGCAATATTGAATGATTATTCTGTTTTAATCACCCTATAGCATGATTGGCATTCATGGATTTGTGTAACCTTACAAGGATATTTTATTTAATCACACGGCGTCACAGAAAACCATCGTGAAACAATCCTTCCGTTGTGTTTTGTCGTGTGAGTGTGGTTACCGGAGGCCCAATTACCCCTCCTCTCCAGTCTCCCCAATCCCCGAATCCCCCATAATCCTCAAATTCCCAATTCACTTGTAAAGCCTCTGGTGTTTCAGGTGTCCATGGGCGACGCCGATTGCTTACCATCAGGTCAGATCCGTCTGCTCATTTACCGGTTGACCCATAACAAAAAATTAAACACCCAAATGAGTTCCACTTCAAGAGTTACATAATCTTACATTTTAATCTTTTATCGTTTCATAACATTTATAATCTTACCTGGGAAGAAGTAAATATCAAGCAGCCCCCACACCCCCCGCCACACGTTGACAGTGGCAATGAAGGAGATGAAGTGGTACACGTCGGCCAGCAACAGCCGGGGCGCGCCGTGCAGCCGCGCTGCAGACCAGCGCACTGGCGCTTGGAGGGCGAACGTGACTATCACCACAGCGTAGCCAACGATCTGTAGGAGAAGAAATGGAATAATTAGACAGTTACTGTTTTAATTTTAAGCTATATAGAGGTACATACATACATAACATCACGTGTTTTATCCCCGAAGGGGTAGAAAAATCTCAGTAGTAGCTCATAAGTCTGGAATTGTGCCCGGTATATGACAATAGGCTCACCCCCTATTACATGGGACTCGTAACATAAACAGTGAAAAGTGGTACATTGTACAGTGGCATAATGCGCATCTCTGCCTACACCGACGGGGATAAAAGGCGTGATGTTATATATATATATATGAAACTTACAAAAACATGGTGCGCGCATTGGCGCCTATCGAAGCCTAAACAAACTTCATAATCTCGCAATTAGAGTAATAAAATGATGTCGTCAGCAGACCAATAGCTTCAGGTAAACCTGAACACAACAAGCTATGTAAATAATAGGATTAAGAACACAAATACAGCTTTAAATAACCTTTATTTGACCAAGAATGGAAACACCCGACGAAACAATAATGCGTTATATTTCTGTCAATAAGGAACTTTAATAATAGAATTGATAACGGTGATAGTAGTAATAGTAGGTTCAGTACAATGTTGTGTAGCTTTCTCTTTCTTCATTTAAGTATGATGCGGTAATTTTCAGAGACAAATAGGTTAATGTATTTTAATCTCTATTGGCCTATGTTTAGCAGTAGATGTCCTATGGCTGACATGATAATGATAATGAATCCGTGAAGCCGTTTAGTAACGGCAGAGTAAAATATATAGGGTGCAAGGAGAACGCTTAAGAAAAACGAAGACAGGTGTTAAAAACGAATTTCATTGGCCGATGTTGCACGAATAATACATAAAATTTAAGTGTGGGAGAGCCATGCTTCGGCACGAAAGGGCCGGCTCGACCGGAGTGATACCACAGCCTCACAGAAAACCGACGTGAAGCAACGCTTGCGTTGTGTTTCGTCGTGTAAGTGAGGTTACCGGCGGCTCAATTGCCCCCCCCCACCCTTCTCCAATCTTCCCAATTCCTGAATCCCCAACGATCCTCAAACTCCTAATCCCCAAAAGGCCGGTAACGTACTTGTAACACCTCTGGTGTTCCAGGTGTCCATGGGCGACGCCGATTGCTTCATTGCATTCATCAGGTGACCCGTCTGCTCGTTTACCGGCTTATGCCATAAAAAAAAATATGAAACTTCCGAGTTCTCAAGCGATCACCGGTCACCGCTCTCCACTTACTCCATTATAGTCTGTAGACCTTATTTCCGATGTTTAGAGACTACTTTTGTATAAACAAATGTTGTGGATTTTTCGTAATCGTGGATTTAGAAGCAATTTGTTTGCGTTTTCGGAAGCGTTCCGTCTACACACCATATTATTAGCCCCACACCAGTCCCACTCGTTCCGCTGGTGTAGTAAACTAACTTTTTCTCTAACTAACGTTATTGTAAAGGGTAAGTCTCATTGAGGTTACTCCTCGTGGGACCTACATTACTCAATTATACTTACTGTTATATCCCTGATATGTAAGGGTTTATGCTGGGATGACATAAAACTACATCGTCATCATTATTATATCTTAGCGTGTAAGGTGGCATGCCAGACCCCTCAGTCTGGACAAGATCTCCGAACGGTACGGTTGTATACTCAGTCCTTTAACTAATTAAAATAGTTCTAATATAAAATTAGTTTTTTTTTTAAAAAGAAATCCTAAAGGACTCTCGTAACATTACGCATTCTATGAGTTAACAAAATTAAAAACAATATTTATATTATTTACAAACTAATTGAATTACTTATCACTTGGAAAATTACTTAATAGACGAATGAATTGATTGTATTTAGTAAAAATTGATACATTTGAATGGTTAGCACAAGTCAAATCTATTAAGTACACATCCATTCTACATAGGAAAAGGCACAGCTATGTCTCATAATATACGGAGGTTAGTAGAAACCACAGAACTGGCTAAAAGGGCATTAAACAAAGGTCTTTAAAAAACTTTGTCATTTTGAATTAAATGATGCGATGTAATGGAAGATTAATAAAATAAGGTCATTAATGATTTGGTGTTATATAAAGAAGATGTAAAATAGGGACATTTTGAAGATTTTTTATTATGTTTTCGGCTTACCTATTCACGTAACTGTTTGACGAGGAGCCCCGTCGCGGTTCGCGGAATGCTGCTCATGAATATGAGCCCCTAGCATAACTTGAAACTAGTCGAGTTCCTCGTCAAACAGTTACGTGAGTAAGCCGACAACATAATAAATATAATTATAATAAGTCTTACGAAAATTTTAATATATGCACATTTTGAAGATATTTGAGATCAATCGAAAAAAGCCCAGGATAGTTGGAAATGGGTAATATCTTTCAATGAGTTTAATTTGGCCATGAATGTACTTCTGCAAGCCTGAGTAATGCAACGATTCCAAGAACTTAACAATAGGGAATGAGGAACAACAAATGCAAAATGTCTCATATAGTACCATTACCATTTAAAGCTAATTTCATAAACGACGATATAACCTCAGACTGAGTGAGGAAACCACGTATTATCTCATCTAGAAGGATAAGAAGTTGATAATCAAATATGTTGTGTCCTGTTCGCTAATTTAAATATACTGCCAAGGCGAAATTGTTATTACTATGGCCAATGATATTGCCAGCCGTATTCTTAGACACATTAGGAGGCCCAAGGCACTTTAATACTTAGACATGGACCTCGCTACTCTTTAACCGCAATACAATTTAACTGTGTGTTGTGCGGGGTGTGTACCTATTTGTCGTAGTGGCCCGGAGGTTCGAAACCTACCAATGGCAAGTACCAATGTGACTTTTTCTGAGTTATATGTACTTTCTAAGATTGTTTAGATACCATTGACATACGGTGAAGGAAAACATCGTGAGGAAACCTGGCCTTATAATTTCTAATTATACATTTGAAATCGCCAACTCGCATTGAGCAAGCGTAGTGATTAATGCTCAAACCTTCTCCGTGTAAGAAGAGGCTTTGCTTAATAGTGGGCATTTATAGGCTGTTGACGATGATAATAATTATGATTATGGTGTGTATTTATGAAACTAGAAAACAGCGGCTGCATCTGCAGATTCGTCCCGCAACTGATTTTAAAACCGTTGGATGTTAAAAAAATTGTAGTTCCTAAATTTTATTTTAATGTCCGTCTGGTAGATTGTTTTAAAACATTAGAACGTATATTTTCTTTTCAGTCTCGCGCTAATTGCCACGGTGAGCGCTCGCGTTACGACGAGGTATATTTAGCACGCGCGTATTAATCTCCTTCTACCCGCATTAATATTTGCTAAATGCTACGTGATAATGGATAACATTGATTTTTGTGATTCGAGTGGAAGTGATTTAGAACGAGAAGTGTTGATGGAGCAGAGTGAGCAACTAGTTAAAGATAAGAAATCGAAGGAAGTAGGAAAAATGACAGAGAAGAGGGTACGATCAGATAGCGAAGAAATAATAGAAGATGATGACGGATTTATTACAGTCCGCGATCAAAAAAGGACGATGAGAAGATCTGGAAAGAATCTTAATAATCTTGAGAACAACTTGAATATAAGTTTAATTGATAAAATAATGGTGTGTATAACATCAAAGGAGATTTTACCTAAACCCTTTAGTATGGCCAAATTGTTAAGATCGGAAAAGATTGAGGGTATTCTTAAAATACAATATAAAAATCCCTATAAGATTATTATACAATTTCAAAACAAAAAGGACGCGGAGAAATTAATGAATTGCAACAAATTTCAAAGTCTAAATTATAGATGTCAGTTTATAGATGAAATCAATTGGTCTTATGGGGTAGTTAAACAAATCGATTTAGAAATTGAAGAAAAGGAATTTTTAGAAAGCTTAGAATGTGAAAAGGAAGTCGTAGCTGTCAAGAGATTGAATAGACAATCAGAGAGTGGAGAATGGATTAAGAGTGAGTCTATACGCATTTGTTTTAGATGTACCACTTTGCCACCATATATACTAATATATGGATGCAGGTTTAAGGTGGACCCATACACATTCCCCGTAAGTCAGTGTTCGGGATGTTGGAGGTTTGGACATCTGATTAAAACCTGTCCAACAAAGAAGATAGTGTGCCCAAAATGCGGAGGAAATCACAATAACTGTGTAACTGAATCCTTTAAATGTGTTAATTGTAAAGGCCCACACATTTCATTTAATAAGTCGTGCCCTATTTTCATTAAAGAAAAAGCCATCCGACAAATCATGCGTGAAGATAATTGTACCTACAGAAAGGCATTAATACTATACCTCAGTAAAAGTAAACCCCATCAGAGTAAACAAAATAATGTAATGGAGAATAATTTACCTCAAATGAGTCAAATCCCACTGTCCGTAAATAGAGAAAAATCATATAAAGACGTCTTGTTATCACAAGTCTACAATAATGAAGAAAGAATAGACTCAATACCACAAGATTCTGGCGCCGAGGAGGCAATTCGAGATATTACTATGAATAAACCTGAATACTCGCTAGCTTCTTCAAAGCCGAAGGAAGCAGTCAATAGACGACAGAAGAGACAGAGAGAAGAAAACGACATGTATGGGTTAGAACAAGAAAGAAGCCAAGATAATGAAAGTACGGATGACCAACAGAAGAAGACTTACAGAAATATATTCTGCTTAAAAAGGTTAATGGATAAACTGAAAGAAATTTACTTTTCCAAGTCAAGTATAAGTGTTAAGATTAAGTTAGTAACTAATGTTATTATCGAAGAAATTATTGAATTTGTTGTAAGTTTTGTAAAAGAAGGTAGTTTGATTCAGCTTATTCAAAAATGGCTCATAACAACTTAAAAGAATTCACGCTTAATATACTTCAGTGGAATTCGCAAAGTATTAGACCCAAAACCACTGAGTTTGAAGTAGCTTTATTTAAAGATCAAATACACATAGCCGTAATCAGTGAGACATGGTTGGAACACGATAGTTTTTTAAACATTTCCCAATATAATATA